CCTCCTCCCGCCTCTCACGGACCTGCGAATCCCGAAACTCCACCACCACGTTCTCACTACTCCAGTGCGCCGCCATCTTTCCCCTCCTAGCGGCCACCCAGCCACAACAAACAACGTCTGACGTCATTACGTTCGCGTCGTATAAAAACCTCCGTCATGAGTTAGAAGCATGCCGGGAAATCTCCTGCGTGGAGAAGGTGCGATACCGATCAGAGCCGCCTGAGGCCGCCAGAGAGCAAATATAAGTGAATCAGCTGCTGTTCTGATGAAAGAGGACCTGTCACCCCTGACAACAGCAGCAGCCAGAGTGTCCCCGACCAATCAGATGACAAGAGACACTCGAAGCACTTCCTGTCTGTTCTATTCTATTCATTTCAAAAATCAAATTTATATTCTATTTATTCTATTCTATCTTATTCTATTTATTATATCTATGCTTTTCTATTCTATTCCTTTATTTTCTATTTCATTCTATTCCGTTTACTCTATTCTTTTCTCTTCAACCCTATTCCATTCTTTTAAGTTCTATTCTATTTTATTCTGTTCTGTTTTACTCTATTCTTTTGAAATTTGAAAGACAGCTATATTCTTTCTATTATATTCTATACTATTCTTTTCTATTCTAACCTATTTTTTTTTCTATTCTTTCATTTTCGTTTCAATTCTTTCATAGTCTATTCTATTTTATTATATATTCTTTTTTTAACTTGGAATTTCAGAAGATGGCTATATTCTTTCTATGATCTTCTATTCTATTCTATTATTTTATTTTCCTTTATTTTCTATTCTATTTTATTCTGTTTGTTTATATTCTCTTCTGTTCTGTCTTATTCTATTCTTTTCTAAATTCGAATTTCGGACGATGGCTATATTCTTTCTATTTTATGATCTATTTTTTTGTCTATTCATTTCTATTCTATTTTATTCTATTCTATTCTATTGTTTTTTGAAATTCGAATTTCGGAAGACAGTCATATTCCAAAGCAGCAACATCACAGGAGCCAGATCTCAAATGCTGAGCTCAGAGCTACTGTGTCAGGGAAGAGAGAGGAGGAGCATGTGAGGGGGTGAATCAGAGATTCCTCACCACCTGTGATGGTGGGGGGGGAGCAGTAATAACTAGGCTTCTCTTAGCAACATCCTAGCAACAAGGGCAGGACACCATCTCTGGGAGTACTCCAGTCAGACTTTGTGAGGTCCATACAGTATATGGCCTCCACCTATAGCAAGAGCAGTGGGGGGGGGGGAGTTAGTAACTGTAGATGAAGGGGGGGCTGGGGGGGCTGTAGGAGAAGGGGGGCTGTAAGTAAAGGGGGTAGGTAAAGGGGGTAGGTAAAGGGGGGTCTGTAGGTAAAGGGGGGTCTGTAGGAGAACGGGGGGGGGGCTGGTAAAGGGGGGGCTGTAGGAGAAGGGGGGCTGTAGGTAAAGGGGGGCTGTAGAGAAGGGGGGGCTGTAAGTAAAGGGGGTCTGTAGGAGAAGGGGGGGCTGTAGGTAAACAGCCTTGAATGGAACAGGTGCAGCGAAACTAAACCGATCGATTTAATGGCTTCCCCAAAAACGGTTACAATCAATACAATCAAGGCACGCTGGAGGGTCTCCCCCCCCCCCCACTCTATTAACAGAAGAGGTTGGGTTGCTCAGGTTCCAAAACCGAGGGGGGGGGTCTGTAGGTATAGAGGGGGGTCTGTAGGTAAGGAAGGGGGGTCTGTAGGTAAAGAGGGGGTCTGTAGGTAAAGGGGGGGGGGTCTGTAGGTAAGGAAGGGGGGTCTGTAGGTAAGGAAGGGGGGTCTGTAGGTAAACAGGGGGGTCTCCAACAGGAACACAAATAACAAATATATCCTCTTTATTACCTCCTTTCCAGCCTTGGGGGAGGGGGAGGGGAGGGGGAGGGGCGCGGGCGGGGGGGGGGGGGGCTTTAACAAGTTCTGAATGCCAGGAGGGGCGGTAAGGACCAGCTGATCACGTCACTTATTAGCACTCACAGTGGTCACATGATCAAAAGTTGGTTTCGCAGGCTACAGATCAGTAGCCATGGCTGTATTAACTCATGGGCTCTACCCAGGGGCCCCAAGTGCATGGGGGCCCCATGACAATCTTGCTTTACATCATATTTGCCAACTGTCCTGATTTTGCCAGGACAGTCACGCCTTTTACTAAGCCGGTTCCGGGGTGAACCTGGGCAGAATCCCAGAGCCTGATCCCAGTACTGTTCCCCGCCTGACCCCCCCCCCCCTTGTACTGTGCCCTCCTGTCTCCCCCAGTACTGTACCCTCCTGACTCCCCCAGTACTGTGCCCTTCTGATCCCCCCAGTATTGTGCCCTCTTGATCCCTTCTGTACTGTTTCTGCCTGACCCCCCCCCCCCCCCCCCCAGTATTGTGCCCTCCTGATCCCCCCCTGTATTGTGCCCTCCTGATCCCTGTACTGTGCCCCTCCTGACTCCCCCTGTACTGTGACCTCCTGACCCCCCCTGTACTGTGTGCCCCCCTGATCCCAGTATTGTGCCCTCCTAAACTCCCCTGTATTGTGCCCCCCTGATCCCAGTATTGTGCCCTCCTGATCCCAGTATTGTGCCCCCCTGATCCCAGTATTGTGCCCTCCTAAACTCCCCTGTATTGTGCCCTCCTGATCCCAGTATTGTGCCCTCCTGATCCCAGTATTGTGCCCTCCTGATCCCCCCTGTATTGTGCCCTCCTGATCCCTGTACTGTGCCCTGGCCCCCTGACTCCCCCTGTACTGTGACCTCCTGACCCCCCCCCCTGTACTGTGCCCCCCTGATCCCAGTATTGTGCCCTCCTAAACTCCCCTGTATTGTGCCCTCCTGATCCCAGTATTGTGCCCTCCTGATCCCCCTGTACTGTGCCCTCCTGATCCCCCCTGTATTGTGCCCTCCTGATCCCCCCAGTATTGTGCCCTCCTGATCCCAGTACTGTGCCCTCCTGATCCCAGTATTGTGCCCCCCTGATCCCTGTATTTGTGTCCTCCTGATCCTCCCAGTATTGTGCCCTCCTGATCCCCCCAGTATTGTGCCCACCTGATCCCAGTATTGTGCCCTCCTGATTCCCCCCTGTATTGTGCCCTCCTGATCCCCCCTGTATTGTGCCCTGCCCTCCTGATCCCAGTACTTTGTGCCCTCCTGATCCCAGTACTGTGCCCTCCTGATCCCCCTGTATTGTGCCCCATCTCTGACTCCCCCTGTACTGTGCCCTCCTGATCCCTCCTGTACTGTTCCCCACCCTGACCTCCCCTGTACTGTGCCCTCCTGACCCCCCCAGTTTTGTGCCCTCCTGACCCCCCCAGTTTTGTGCCCTCCTGATCCCCCCAGTATTGTGCCCTCCTGATCCCCCCAGTATTGTGCCCTCCTGATCCCCCCTGTACTGTGCCCTCCTGATCCCCCCAGTATTGTGCCCTTCTGACTCCCCCTGTACTGTGCCCCTCCTGATCCCCCCTGTACTGTTCCCCGCCTGATCCCCCCCCCAGTATTGTGTCCTCCTGACCCCCCCAGTATTGTGCCCTCCTGATCCCCCCCTGTACCTAGCCTAACCCCAGGTTCACACCTAAGCGTTTCCGTTTTGCAGAAACACACATCAGTCCATTTCACATGATGTCCTATGGAACGGGTTCATATCTCGGCGTTTTCACCCCGGTGCGTCTTTTATGTGTTCTGCGTTTTAAATCCGCCTAGCAACAAGAAAAAAATAAAAAATGCAAAACGCATCAAAACACGACAAAAACGCACTACATGCTTTCTGCAGCGTCTCCACTGAAGTCTATAGAACCAGAAATGCAACTTTTTGCTGTCAACAAAGTCCCCGCCCCTTTCCAGAAAAACCGCAGAAACGGCTCAACGCAAACTGCATGGGTGGGAACCGAGCCTAAGACGGGATTTCCCTGTGGGAGGATCTCTCCATAAATGACATTTCTGTTGCAGGAGATGCCCAAAATCTGTCTTGTATCTTAGTGCAGACTTCTGGGAAAACCAGTGAGCCAATCACAAGCAGGGAATGACATTCGGGGGGGAGGGGTCTGTATACCATCTGTGTACAGAACGCCGCCAGGCGGCCATATTGTATTTTACAGGAAATGACAGCGGAAGGGAATTTCTAACAACATTCAGTTACAATGTGACTCCTGCAGACATTTTATAGATTATTATTTTCCCATGAAGGTGGAGTTACCCTTTAAATCCAGATGTGGTCCTACGATGAGGTTGCAGAGTGTATGGCCAGTGACCTCTAGTGGATAATATTGACATGACAGCCAACTCCAACCTGTCCATCCATGAGGGTGTAAGGGGTTAATGTTCAGGTTCCTGTGGGGGGCGGAGAAGGGGAGGGGTCTGTGCGGCTGGCCGTTCTCTCAGGGCGGGGTAGGGGAGGAGCTGGGAACGCTTGGTAGAGGGAAGGGGCGGGGATGAGGAGGAGCTGGGAGCCCTTGGTAGAGGGAAGGGGCGGGGATGAGGAGGAGCTGGGAGCCCTTGGTAGAGGGAAGGGGCGGGGAAGGGATGAGCTAGGTAGAGGGAAGGGGCGGGGAAAGGGATGAGCTAGGTAGAGGGAAGGGGGGGCGGGGAAAGGTAGAGGGAAGGGCCGGGGATGAGCTTGGTAGAGGGAAGGGGCGGGATAGGGGAGGAGCTAGAGGCGCTTGGTAGAAGGAAGGGGCGGTGAAGGAGAAATGAGCTTAGTAGAGGGAAGGGCGGGGTAGAGGAGGAGTTTTGTGCGCTTGGTAGAGGGAAGGGCCGGGGTAGAGGAGGAGCTAGTCGCGCTTGGTAGAGGTAAGGGGCGGGGTAGTAGGAGGGGTTGAGGTTCAGGTTAGAGGAGGAGTGGGCGGGACCGGTGGTAGTGTCCCGGAGCCGCGCAGGCGCGCTGTTTTCCTCCATTGTTCCAGCCCAGCAACAAGCGGCAGCGGCGGAGAGGAGAGGCCGGGCTGTCGGCGGGTCGGTAGTCGGTCCCCCTCCCCCGGGCCGGCGGGCGGGCGGCGCTCAGTGATGACATCCGCTCAGTGATGGGGGCGAAGCAGAGCTCCCCGATCCCGGGCTCCGTTCCCCGGAGTCTCCTCCGATGACTCGGCCGTCCCCCCCGCCTCCCACTACAGCGCCATGGGGCTCCGCAGCCGCTCCGTCAGCTCCGTGTCCGGCCTGGAGCCCCCCCACCCCCCTGCCGCCGCCGGGACCCTCTACCGAGCCGAACCGGACCGAGGAGGGGGGGGGAGGGGGGAGCTCCGGGGACGCCGAACAGCACCGCTACCCCCTCCACATCGCCCCCCGACTCATCGCCGCGCACAGCGGTAAGTACCTACCGGGGGACCTACCTCCTGTATATTGGGGAACACCTACCGGGGAACTGGGGGCCTACCTACCGCCTGTGTATTAGGGAACACCTACCTACCGCCTGTGTATTGGGGAACACCTACCTACCGGGGAACTGGGGGCCTACCTACCTCCTGTGTATTGGGGAACACCCACCTACTGGGGGGCTTACCTACCTCCTGTGTATTGGGGAACACCTACCTACTGGGGGGCTTAGTACCTCCTGTGTATTGGGGTACACCTACCTACTAGGGGGCTTACCTACCTCCTGTGTATTGGGGTACACCTACCTACTAGGGGGCTTACCTACCTCCTGTTTATTAGGGAACACCTACCTACTGGGGGGCCTACCTACCGCCTGTGTATTGGGGAACACCTACCGTGGAACTGGGGGCCTATCTACCTCCTGTGTATTGGGGAACACCTACCTACCGGGGAACTGGGGGCCTACCTACCACCTGTGTATGGGGGAACACCTACCTACTGGGGGGGCCTACCGCCTGTGTATTGGGGAACACCTACCTACCGGGAAAATGGGGGCCTACCTACCACCTGTGTATTGGGGAACACCTACCTACTGGGGGGGCCTACCGCCTGTGTATTGAGGAACACCTACCTACTGGGGGGGCCTACCGCCTGTGTATTGGGGAACACCTACCTACTGGGGGGGGGCCTACCGCCTGTGTATTGGGGAACACCTACCTACCGGGGAAATGGGGGCCTACCGCCTGTGTATTATGGAACACCTACTAGGGGGGACCTACCTGAGTCCCAGGAACTGGGGGGGGGGGGGGGGGGGTCTTACCTACCAGATAACCCCTCCCTATCAGGGAACACTTACTGGAGTACCAGGGAACACCTACTGGGGAGGGGGGAACCTACCTACCAGGGAATACCTACTTACAGTGGACTGGGGGGGATCTACCTCCCTACCGGGGAACAGCTACCTACCTGAGTACCGGGAGGGACTTACCTGCCAGAATACTGGGGAACACCTACCTTTGAGTTGATATCTACCAGACTATGGGGCGTACCTACCAGCCTGAGTATTATGTACCTACCCACTGGGGTATGGGGTGTACCTACCTCCTCAGTGTCGGTACCAATCTGAACATTGTATGTACCCACCAGAGTGTTGGGTGTTGTGTACCTACCTGAATATCAAAGTACTGACAAGAGCATTGTGTCACTTAATTGAATGCAGGGTACCTACCTGAATATTGTGTGTACCTACCTCCGTATCGGTACTGCCTCCGGAGAATTGCATGTACTTACCTGAGTATTGGGGTAACAACCCCCTGAATATTGTGTGTACCTACCTGGGTATCAGGCTACCATCCCCCGAGCATTTTATATATCTACCTTGGTAATGGTGTACCAACCTCCAAATACTGTGTACCTACCTGAGTATCAAAGTATTGATCTGGGTATTGTGTACCTACTTCAGTATTCCGTCTACCTACCTGTGTGTGTGTATGCATACATACACACACACACACACACACACACACATCACATACATACATACACACACACACACACACACACACACACATACATACATACATACATACATACATACATACATACATACATACACACATACACACACATATACATACATACATATACATACAGTCATGGCCGAAATTGTTGGCACCCTTGATATTTCTCCAGGAAATCATGTATTTCTCACGAAACGTATTGCATTAACACATGTTTTGCTATACACATGTTTATTCCCTTTGTGTGTATTGGGACAAAAAAAAAAAAAGGGAGGAAAGAAAGCAAATTCGACATAATGTCACACAAACCTCCAAAAATGGGCTGGACAAAAGTATTGGCACCCTTTCACAACTGCGGATAAATAAAAGAATGTTACAAGCATGTGATGCTCCTGTAAACTCACCTGGAAAAAAGTAACAGGTGTGGGCAATATAGAAATCACACCTGAAAGCAGATAAAAAGGAGGAGAACGTTCACTTAACCTTTGCATTGTGTGTCTGTCTGTGCCACACTAAGCATGGACAACAGAAAGAGGAGACGAGAACTGTCTGAGGACCTGAGAACCAAAATTGTGGCAAAATATCAACAATCTCAAGGTTACAAGTCCATCTCCAGAGAACTAGATTTGCCTTTGTCCACAGTGCGCAACATTATCAAGAAGTTTGCAACCCATGGCACTGTAGCTAATCTCCCTGGTCGTGGACGGATGAGGAAAATTGATGAAAGATTGCAACGCAGAAATAGTCCGGATGGTGGATAAGCAGCCCCAAACATGTTCCAAAGACATTCAAGCTGTCCTGCAGGCTCAGGAGCATCAGTGTGTCAGCGCGAACTATCCGTCGACATTTAAATGAAATGAAACGCTATGGCAGGAGACCCAGGAGGACCCCACTGCTGACACAGAGACATAAAAAAGCAAGACTACAGTTTGCCAAAATGTACTTGAGTAAGCCAAAAGCCTTCTGGGAAAACGTCTTGTGGACAGATGAGACCAAGATAGAGCTTTTCGGTAAAGCACATCATTCTACTGTTTACCGAAAACGGAATGAGGCCTACAAAGAACAAAACACAGTACCTACGGTAAAATATGGTGGAGGTTCAATGATGTTTTGGGGGTTGTTTTGCTGCCTCTGGCACTGGGTGCCTTGACTGTGTGCAAGGCATCATGAAATCTGAGGATTACCAAAGGATTTTGGGTCGCACTGTAGGGCCCAGTGTCAGAAAGCTGGGTTTGCGTCCAAGATCCTGGGTCTTCCAGCAGGACAATGACCCCAAACATACGTCAAAAAGCACTCAGAAATGGATGGCAAAGAAGCGCTGAGAGAGTTCTGAAGTGGCCAGCAATGAGCCCAGATCTAAATCCCATTGAACACCTGTGGAGAGATCTTAAAATTGCTGTTGGGAAAAAGGTGTCCTTCCAATAAGAGAGACCTGGAGCTGTTTGCAAAGGAAGAGTGGTCCAAAATTCCGGGTGAGAGGTGTCAGAAGCTTATTGATGGTTATAGGAAAGCGACTGATTTCAGTTATGTTTTCCAAAGGGTGTGCAACCAAATATTAAGTTAAGGGTGCCAATACTTTTTGTCCAACCCATTTTTGGGGTTTTGTGTGAACATTATGTCATCATATTTGCTTTTCTGCCTCTGTTTTATATTTGTTCCAATACATACAAAGGAAAAAACATGTGTATAGCAAAACATGTGTTAATGCAATACCTTTTTTGTGTGAAATACTTGATTTTCAGGAAAAATATCAAGGGTGCCAACAAATTTCGGCCATGACTGTACATACACACACACAAAACACACACACACACACAAAATACATACCACACACATACATACAACATACACACATCCCCCCCCCCCCCCCCCCCCCCATATATTGTACAAATGTATCATTCCCCACCAATCACTGCACATTTATTGGAATTTTTTGTTTGTTCTCAGGATGCTGATTGGCCTGAATTGTGGGGGGGGAGGAGTTGGGGGGGGGGGGAGGGGAGTTGTGGGGGGGGGGGGGGGGGGGGGGGGGGAGGAGGTGGGGGAGGGAGCCTGAACCCCTGCAGCGGTGGGGGGGGCGGGCATCGGAGGACGATGCGCAGGCGAGTCCTTCCCATGTTCTGATGGGGGTTCATGTGTGGAAAGGCGGGGTTAGCAGGTTTCTGTTGAGGTTGCCACACCTCCAGAACTACACCTCCCGAGAGCTCTCTCCCTACAGTGAGCGTGACAAACTTTATTCATGTTGTGCGGTCCCCCCCCCCCCCCCGTGTCATGTGACGCACACACGTGCTGAAGCGCAATGCAAAATGCATTTGAACATCAATGTAACCCAACAATGGCGTCATATCACCCCCCCCCCCCCCCCCCTCCAGTCACATCTCCAGCTGCTCAATGATTTGCACCCCTTGAAATGAATTTTTGGCATTGTTGCTCTGTGACCTGGTTGGGGGAGGGGGGGGGGAATTGTCGCGGTTTCCTGTCAGCGTCAGTTCATATAAACCACATGACCCCCTTCCTGAGCGGCTGAGAGGACAGAAGAGGTCTTCCTGGGGAATGGGGGTCCCGGGCCTTCCGCTGCTCCCCACGCACTGCGACGTCCGCTGGCCGGGTTACAGCAGAACTCGAGCAGAAGGGTTCTGTGCAACTACATTGTAAAAAACCCCGCCGACCAACCACAGCACTCGGTGCAAATCCATCCTGCATCCCTCCATCCATCCGTGCCTCCCTCCATCCAGCTGTCCCTCCATCCGTGCCTCCCTCCATCCTCCATCCGTGCACTCCCTCCATCCTCCATCCGTGCCTCCCTCCATCCTCCATCCGTGCCTCCCTCCCTCCTCCATCCGTGGGCCTCCCTCCCTCCATCCATCCGTGCCTCCCACTCCCTCCATCCATCCTGCCTCCCTCCCTCCATCCATCCGTGCCTCCCTCCATCCATCCATCCGTGCCTCCCTCCCTCCATCCATCCGTGCCTCCCTCTCCCTCCATCCATCCGTGCCTCCCTCCCTCCAAATCCATCCGTGCCTCCCTCCCTCCATCCATCCGTGCCTCCCTCCCTCCATCCATCCCGTGCCTCCCTCCCTCCATCCATCCGTGCCTCCCTCCCTCCATCCATCCGTGCCTCCCTCCCTCCATCCATCCGTGCCTCCCTCCCTCCCTCCATCCATCCGTGCCTCCCTCCCTCCATCCATCCGTGCCTCCCTCGTGCCTCCCTCCATCCATCCGTGCCCTCCCTCCCTCCCTCCATCCGTGCCTCCCTCCCTCCCTCCCTCCCTCCATCCGTGCCTCCCTCCCCCTCCATCCATCCATCCGTGCCTCCCTCCCTCCAACCATCCATCCGTGCCTCCCTCCCTCCCTCCATCCATCCGTGCCTCCCTCCCTCCCTCCATCCATCCGTGCCTCCCTCCCTCCCTCCATCCATCCGTGCCTCCCTCCCTCCCTCCATCCATCCGTGCCTCCCTCCCTCCCTCCATCCA